CTTTGTGAAATACAGCAAATCATTGATCTTCTTTATACACTTCTGGGCCTTCATATTCACCTGGGACACAGCACTGCCCCACGCTACAATGCTTCCAGGCTTGCTATATCTGGTGGTGTGGTCTCCTGTGGCAGTGAGCTGGATAAAGGACTGCCCTCGTATCCACCAATTCCTCCAGGTCCTAGTCAGTGAAGTGGGTCACAAACTTCCCCTTCCTCTGGGTCATGAGTTTAGTCACAGTGTGAAAGCCAGTTCCTGACATACAGCATCTGAAACGGTGTGCAGCTCATTGGCACCATTAGGTGCCAGAGGCATAAAGCCAGAGGTCCCAGCAGTGGAGAATGCTTCCACCTCTTTAACCAGGTGAGAGGGGAAAGATTTAAAAGGGACTTAAGAGGCAAGTTTTTCATGCACAGGATATTGCCTGTATGGAACGAGCTGCTAGAGGAAGTGATGGAGGCTGGTACAATTACAACATTTAAAAGGCATCTGGATGGGTATATGAATAGGAAGGGTTTAGAGAGATATGGGCCAAATGCTGGCAAATGGGACTACATTAATTTAGGATATCTGGTCAGCATAGATGAGTTAGACTGAAGGGTCTGTTTCTGTGCTGTACAGCTCAATGACTCTAACACTATATGTGCTTCCTTAGGAAAGGTGCACAAGAGCACCAAAGAGCTTAGTTGCTAAATTTGTGAACTGAAGAGCAAAACTCTGCATCAGAAAAGTTGTTCCTACACACTGCGGACCAGGTGCCATGAGCCTCATAACAAAACAAGCTAACTGCAAATAGGGAAATTCCCCCCCATCTGTTAACTTGGGAGGATGTTTTCGACCGAAGTTTTCCTTCAGTAACATTACAAATAGAGTTAGGGGTATTTGTTTTGTGTCCAGAGGGGTGTTTCCTAAAGCCAAGTGGTAAGTTGGGTTGGCTTAAACACAATGTGGTTGAGGAGGTCTAATGTGCAGCTGATATGTATCACTGCATCCCATCAAATGGAAGGATGATATTTAAGCGTATTGGTTATCAATGAGCTGGAGTTCATTTCAGAGATTCAGAAATCATTTGTGTTAATGACTGAAGAATAAATCACCCCATTAATCCTTAAATATCTCCTAAATGTTCAGCTGATGAGACCTTGCAAAGGCCTAAGAGCACCTTTCTTGCCTTACCACTCTTTCAGAGGACAATCATGTGTACAGTATGGTTGGGGAAATTATGTAAAAAGAAATTTTTTTAAAAAAAATCAGAAATATGGCATAGACAAAAATGAACTGAAACTGACTGCCTTTAGTTACAAGTTGTTCCAAAGCTGACAAGACGTCTATTAGAATGAGTTTCAAAGTTAATCTGCAAGAAGTTGAGAATTCAAATCATTACTCTATCATTCTTACTTTTAACAAGCTTTCTTCAGGCATGCGACAATAGCTGCACGCTTCCAGTTTTCATGATGGCTTTTTGAGTTTTTTTGCATTGTGAAAAGATAGATGCCACAAATTTGGGTAAGTTCATCAAAATAATTAGTATAGCGTGCATAGAGAAAATTACCTTAAATTTTTAAAAAATTCAATTTATCTAGGGCCTTTTGCTACTAAAGGATGCCTGAATGCACTCTATTGGTAGTTAAATAACGTAGACATATCCCACAAACAGCAAAGTGACAATGATCAGATAATTGCACTTTGGAATATTGACTGAGGAATATATATTAGCCAGGACACTCCTTGGTAATCTTCAAAATAGCATAGTGGATCTTCTCATCTGAGGGGACAGATGGAACATTGATTTATTGTCTCTTTCAAAAAGATGGCATCTCAAGAGTGTAGCATTCTTTCACACTAAACTGCAGCATCAGCCTAGATTTTTGCGCTCAAATCTCTGGAGTGGATTTGAAATGCAAGTTTCCAACCTAGAGGCAAGAAATCTATAATTACACCTTCGTTTACTGATATATGTTGTTATGGTGTTAGCAATCTGGTTAGCCATCATCAATCTGTTTTTCAGCAGGCTTATCACCCTATGGAACAAGCTACCCTCAAAATTCTGAAACAAAGTCATCAAGGGTTGTGTACATTAGTCACATTTACCTCCTGAAGTACTATAGGTAGCTCTGATCTCCTGAAGCTGTCTTGAATGTTTTATAAAGAAAGGGTTTCCTCTACAGGCTATGGTTGATGCAGTTGCGAGCCTTTTTGTTACGAACACAGTTGCAATTTCATAACCGACTACAGAGTTTGGAAATGAAGAACTACCAATTTAAGTTAAAAGGAAGTAAAAAAATAAGTACTCTGCAGACACCTAAGTAAGATGAGGAAAACCAGAATATGGATAGGTACACTGAGGAACAGCCACATTAAGCCTAATGATAATTACAATAAAATGACTTTAAGTATTAAAAATAATTACTTTGTCTCAATATTTACCAGAGAAGCTAATGTTGCTGTTACACTGGAAGAGTCCAAAAACTATTTGAAGACACTTAAGCAAGAAAAAAGGAAAGATAATTGATAATCTTATCAAAATTAGATTGAACATAATACTTGGTCTGGAAGGATTTCATTGGTGCATATTATAAATTAGTACATATAATGTTTGGCTCAGAACCTAAAACTCCAATGGACTATTGAGCTAGCAGAGTCCCATGGAAAATGCTGCTTGCTTTACAGCTTTAGCTGTTTGATTTTATCTGTCAACTGCAAAATGTTTATGTAGACAAGAATAACAGGTTGCAAGTGCCTGCAATTTTTGCTGTTGCTAATTTAGTAGATCTGAATAGGTTAATAGGTTATTTATAGAGGTCATTTATGTAAATAATTTGGATGTAAGTTTGCAGATGACACCAAAATTGGAGGGGTAGTGGACAACGAAGAACATTACCTCAGAGTACAACAGGATCTTGATCAGATGGGCCAATGGGCCAAGGAGTGGTAGACGGAGTTTAATTTACATAAATGTGAGGTGTTGCATTTTGGAAAAGCAAATCAGGGTAGGACTTATACAATTAATGGTAAGGTCCTAGGGATTGCTGCTGAACAAAGAGATGTTAGAGTGCAGGTTCATAGTTCCCAGAAAGTGGAGTCACAGGTGGATAGGGTAGTGAAGGCGGCATTTGGTATGCTTGCCTTTATTGGTCAGTGCACTGAGTACATGAGTTGGGAGGTCATGTTGTGCCTCTACAGGACATTGCTTAGGACATTCTTGGAGTACGGTGCGCAATTCTGGTCTCCCTGCTGCAGGACAGATGTTGTGAAACTTGAAAGGATTCAGAAAAGATTTGCAAGTACGTTCCCAGGGTTGGAGGCTTCAAGCTTTAGGGAGCAGCTGAATATTCTGGAGCGATTTTCCTGAGCGTCAGAGGCTGAGGGGTAACTTTATCGAGGTTTATAAAATCATGAGGGGCATGCATAGGGCGAATAGCCAAGGTCTCTTCCTCGGGGTGGCGGAGTCCAAAACTAGAGGGCATAGGTTTAAAGTGAGAGGAGAAACATTCAAAAGGGACCCAAGGGGCAACATTTTCACGCAGAGCGTGATACATATATGAAATGAATTGCCTGAGGAAGTGGTGGAGGCTGATACAAATACAACATTTAAAAGGCATCCGGATGGGTATACGAATAGGAAGGGTTTACAGCGATATGGGCAAAAAGCTGACAAATGGGACTAGATTAATTTAGGATATCTGGTCGGCATGGACAAGTTGGGCCGAAAGGTCTGTTTCTGTGCTGTATGACTACATGAATGATTGACATTTTTATTGCCTTGTCGTAAATTAGCTTCTTTTTTAAAAGAGGAAATGCAAAGTAATGAATAATTAATAAAAGTTAAAACTTATTAACATATTACTTCATTATTATTTCTTTATGGTGGACAATGGGTATATAGAAGTGCCATAACTTGGAGAAAGGCCAGGTTATCCTTGCTTCATGAAAAGAGTTGAACGTTTGATTTCTTAAAGGAAGCATGAAATAATTTTCGAATTGACAGTTTTGGTTTTGGTTGTATAATTGGTTAGCCCGACCTCCAATTCCAGGTTACTCCTAAATCTCCAAAGTATTCAACTGTTAGGGTATATTTCCACAGATAATCAGTCCAAATGATAATTGTGTAAATCCAGCAATAAGTGTCAGTGGGTTATTTAATCATGAAATGTATTACCACTAAAGCCAATCCAGTCGTCACCTGACATGCATTAAAAACTAGGCAGTTGTAAGGAATGGGGTGAATATTCTTGTGTTGCTGTGTGTCTCCCTACTTCAGCACCGGACGGCCCAGATGCCAGCCCCACCTGCTTCAGAGGTGTATAATAACATCATCGAACATGTGGATTAGAAAGTATGTGGAAAATATTTGGTGAGGACTAGATATTTTGACTGGTTTTCTTCTCTGTATCGCAAGGCAGCTGAAGTAAATTTTAAACCTGTGTGCTTTTGATGCATCTGAGATTAGTTACCTTAGCATAAATTGAAGATTGAACTGGGACTTGCCCCCTCTGAAAGTCTGAGACAAATCTATAGAAGCCTAATCAAATTAACCATTGAACAGGCCCTAAAGCTTTGAAACACAAGAAATTGGGTATGATGACAAAAAACAAACTTGATGTTATACAGATCACTGTAAATTACATCATAAATATGAAAAGTCATTTGGACATTAGTCAATTAATGACTACTAACATGAGCAAAATGAAAAAGATTTCACAAGAACACAAGTACAGCACCCAGGGGAACCTCTTTGAAAAAAACCAAACTAACTACTCTTAAGAGTTGTAAAAACAATTAGAATATTAACTAGTATTTTTAAACAAGTAGGACTTAGAAAATCCCTGAATATTTTAACTTAATTTCTTCAACGTAAGTGTGCCTTTCCTCAGAATGATTATTTGCAAGACTTTACCACATTCCTATATTGCTCAATAATGGGCCTGCAGTACTCACAAAAAGGTACAAAATATTTTCATAGTAATGACACCCCACACCCTCCTTTCATTACTAATTCCTCAGTTCTTACCACAAAACTCCGCTCTCACCTTGGAGTTCTTGCTGCTTCGACCTGACTGGGTAGAGTAGCTCCGCTGGATACCCTGTTCGGGGGTGGAAGGTGATTTGTCTGAGGAATGGTCTGAGCCCTTCTCCACCATTGTCTCACCCTCTAGGTTCTGAGGAGTTGGGGATCTTGATCGTTTCCTCAGGATGGGTGAGCAGGCTGGGGTGCTCCGAGCAGAATTACTGGCAGTACTGTTGACAAAAACAGAGAATCTTGTAAGAAAGTATCACAGCTGCATGTGTATAGCCACTCAGAAGCCTTGTGCCAACATTTCTTTTCAGTTGTTAATCAGTTTAAAATTCCTTCCGTTCGGCATCCCAGGAGGTTAACAAGTTTCTGACCTTTATTTTTCAATAAGTATACTTTCGTTTCCGCTTGCACATTCTGTATATACAAGATCGAGCTCACAAGAGAAATATGTTCTACAGTCTTTCCCCATGATACTGCTATCTGGGTAACTTTTCCCAATAATAAAGAGTAGCAAGGTAATCCCTCTTTAGGTTACATAGCCTTGATGGGGTGAGATTAATGCTAATAGTTGGAGAAGAGGTCAACCAAAATTATCAATAAAACAATTTTCACGCTTGCAATAAAACCTCATTGCATGAACTATTACGTACAATTCTTATGCAACTCTCGATACAGTTGCATGACATTCTATTAAAGTCCATGTGCAATATCTCTGCATTACATACATCTGTGCAGTATTCCTGTATTATGCACAACTGTTGTGCAGTTTCTCGATGATTCAGTTTTTCTGGAAAAGCCCTAGATTGCGTATCGCTGTCTAACATTCCTTTATAATATAAATTCCTGTGCCATTGCCTAGTATAAATACAGCAAAATGCTCCTACATGAGTGATCTATCCTGCATTTGAGAGTTTGACTCTGATTTGATCTGCAAGATACATTTTACTTCATCATCCTTTTATTCCTAGTCATTTATCCCATTTTCTCTTATCCTGTAGATGGTTGATTCTAAGCGCATTCTTAGAATCCCTGCAAAGACTGATTTAACATTTAAACAAAAAAAAACTGAACTTTGGGTTCATAGCTAAAGAGAATGATGAAACAAAATTTCACATTTTAAAACCTGTAAGTTCTATTGAGTACAGACTATTTACTCTGTGAGGTAACCTGCACAATGGAGTTTGTACTTATCACACATCGTGCTTCCAAGAGAATTACAGTCCTTATGGCAAATACATTCCTCATAGTCAACAGATGCACCCAGCTTTCAATTCCCTGTTTCGCTGAGTAGTAACTTGAAGTCACTGCCTCCAGGCACTTCCCTTAAAATTTGGGGAATTTACCAAATTGGAGAGTTTCTGAATTTAACTATGAACACTAAATGAACACATTGTCCTGATGATTCTTACCCTCTGGTTTACACCAAGATGAATCTCTTGGAAACTTTAGGTGACTGCAGGGTGGCTCTTTTCAGTCAAAGACATAGATCTCCTGCATCCAGCTATGGAGGTTCACAAAGCCAAGCTGCTATTTTCTGTGCTGACCACACACGTCTGCTGCTTTCTGTGAGTTTTATTGATTGGTTAGGTAATGTGTAATCTGACCTCAAAAATGGTTTCTACTGCACTCATCGCCATGCAATGAAACACATTAGCCTTGCATCCAGGTAGAAATGCGGATTCGCTCTTCTTTACCCCAATCCTCTTTCATCTTAGGAGTAAATGGACAATTCACAACACCAATTTTTTAACTCAATATTTTCTGCAACGTTGGGAGAACTGTAGTCTAATCATTGTAAACACAAAGACTACTATCCTTGTCTCCAACTGCAACCACCTTACAGTATCACTCTAATTAAACTATCCATGCTCAGTAGATTTCAGAGCAGGTCAAATGACCTTCTCAGTTCCCCTACATTTAAAGACACGGTTACAAAACAATCTTATAAACCTCATCACTGCACTCCTATTGTTTCTTTTCGTCTCTCACATTATTTCTGTCTGATCCCTAATACATCATGCCATCAAACTGCTCAAAGCCCAGAAGCTCTTCTGGTCAACATCACAGCTGGGTTCTCATTGCAGCAGCTCCTCCTAGCCTTTCTACTGTTGCTTAGCCAAGAGCAACTCACTCAACAATTCTAGGGCCTTCCTGGTTTTTATGTATTCAGTATCTCACTGAATAATCTTTCTGCATCACCAGGGGAGCCATATTTATGACCTTGTACTATAATTGCATTTGACTCTTCATCTTTTTAGAATACTCCAGGAAAACTAGGATTTATAAAAAAATTAAGCAGGTTTGTAAGAAAAATACTCTACATTATATTAGTTAATCATGGCACAAAGTACAATTTTTTCCATTAAAAACTTTACCATAATCTGTTGTGCAGCAATAGAAAAGAAGTTTATTTAAGAGAGTTATTTTTACAAATTCATACAGAGTGCTAACATGGTTTCTAGTCATAAGTTTTTGAGCAAAGGGGTTAAGCAGCATGAATATAATGTTTAGACAGCTACAGTGCACTCGGACATCTGCACCAAGCAAAGTTTAGCAATACAAGTAATTTACTCACTGAAAATTTGATTATTTAATTCTGTTTTGACAATAATAACTCAAAAATTATGCTCCACGACTCTCAAGTTTGAACTTGAAAAGTGTTGTTTTGCCCTTAATAGAACTGGCTTCATTTCATGGGCAACAAGTCAAATACTAAGCCCTGAGCTTTAAGATAGAATAAACATCAGAAATGGGAAAAATACTCACTTGTTCAATCTTGTGGTGTGAAATCCTGGATTAGTCAGTAACTTTAAACTTCGGCTGGCAGAGTTGGCTTTGTCTGACCAATATTTATAGATTTTTAAAAAATATTGTGGTGATGGAAGAGGCAGAGTGACATTGTAACTGTTGCTGGGAGATGGAGCAATGTCACAGAGTGGGAAGAGTGGGCGGGGTGGTTTGAAAATCACAAAGCAGCTCAGGAGGAGGATTGTGTTTCCAAGAGGAAGAAAGATGAAAGAAAACTAGAATCCACTTTAAATATTATACAGATGTGATTCTCTTTTGAGCTTTGGGTAGAGGATAATGCAATGAAAAGTTTGTACAGGAAACAGCACAATGGTGTATCCTCATGCTACTGAATGACAAAGTTTCTCTCTGTTAGAGTATATATGTGGTGCTTTTTTGATTCCAGATCGGAGCCATCACAGAGAGGGAACACACAAAGGGAGGACTGGCAAAAATATTCTTCTAGGGCAGATATCATAGAATCATAGATTTTAACATTTCAACTGATCTGAATAACAGCAACAGGCTGATGGGACAGGAGATGGAAAATAAGCAATCTTTTCACCCTATTAACATATATGGAGCCAAAATCTTGATCCCTTGTGGTATGCAGCAAAAAAGACAACACCTTCTCAAATAAAACATTTTGCAATTTTTTTGTGATATCATTATCACTGCAACAGTAAAAGAATTCTAACTCTTTCACAACATGCAGAAGCATTTACATTCAGAATGAGATTGATTTTGTACTGAAGTGATGAACTCTAGTTTGCAAGGTAATGGCGCAATGAAATATTTTTTGTAGCTTTTTCCAGAATGTGGAATTTTGATTCTCAAAAGCTTGCATGAAAGAACTAGAAATCATGTATTTGAAGAAATACTGTAGCAATAAAGAATAATTTGACCAGAATGTCTTGGTTGTGACCAAAATAAATCAAGTTCAAGCAGAATGTTTACAGCAACAAATCCACCAGTTTGCAATAAGACAAAGTGCTAGAGAAACTCAAGAGGTCTGGCAGTATCTATGGACAGAGAAACAGAATTAAACATTTCAATTCCGAAATGACTCTTTTTCGGAGCAGTCCAGCAGTTTAGCATTTTTGGTACTTCAGTGAATTCAATAGAAAAGCAGGCCTGATAGCAGTATGCTCCTTGACAAACAAGTTTTAATTTATTTCAATAGGAATAATCACAATAAACGGTGATACCTTTTAGACAGTTAACCACTATTTGATAAAGAATTGAAACATATTTTTTGAAAAGCAAAGCAGTTGATTTGCTATATGTATAACCATGAAAATTGCCAACAACCTTGCACAATTAATACAGTGATCTAAATTGAGATAAAGACTGGCCAAATGGCAATGCATCAGTTTTCTTCCAGGCTACTTGCTCTTTTTGCTGCCTTAAGGTTAACAACAGATTCTGAACTGCCTCGATGGCATTTTATGCAAGCCCTAACATCAATTTGTGGCATTATGTGACATTACTTTTGTTTTAAAGAAATCCACATCCAAATTCTTGTGCTGCTTAACATTTTCTAAGTTTATGAAAAGGTTGCTGAGTTACAAGTATGTCTGATACATTTTACACAAAAGAAGAGTACAAGATGCAAAAGGCTGAATAAACCAGAAGTACAGAGGATACTGAACCAATGACATAGCTGTTATTTCATGTTGTTCTTTAACTAAGGGGAATGGAACACAATGTTAGTTAAATGTCTGTCTGAAAAGAGGGGGGCTAGTCATTGGTTCTCTATTAATATTAGGTTGAGTCTCTCTCAATTTAATTTTGTAAGTTTCACTCCTCAATTATACTACATAACACATGTTGATTCAAAATTAAAAATATTGGGACAGTATGCTTGAAGCGTGAATATTCAAAACTAGATATGAGGTGAATAATATAGATGCATCTGAGGGAAATCTATAGAAACATCAGGGAGAAGGTAACAGAAGGTTACGCTGATGGAGTTAGATGAGGAAGAATAGCAGATCATTTAAGTGAAACTCAAACTGAAATACGTATAATTTCTGGCCATATTTAGTAAATGTTCCAATGTTGCATTTGGATTGAGGCATCTAAGAATGCAAATGCTCAACTGAGAAATGTAACTTTTCATTCAATCTTCTATAATGTCCAACTTGAATTGTTTTGTGATATGCTTATAAATAACATGAATAAATATAGTTTTTCGTTAACAAGTGGAACATAAATGTGGTTGGGACAAATAACGTGTTGTATATTTTATATGCAATGGTCCTTGCCGATTTTCTTTCCATTTAAGCCAATTTTATGTCCATGACAAAGTTGATTGACTTCCCAGTGACCCAAAAACTATAGTTTCATGTGTGCAATACATGAAAATCACTGACAAGAATTGGATAGTAATGCATGATACAGGTTTTCTGTTATCCATCTCACATCTTGTGCT